AGAGCTCACTATGTAGACCATGCTGGCCGTGAACTCACAGAGATCCCCCTGCCTCTGCCTCTTGAGTGCCCAAATTAAAGGCTTGTGCTACTACACCCAGCTCAGTCTTTCTAAATCTTCAATTAACTAATTTATTTTTAAGTGTGTGTGTGTGTGTGTGTGTGTGTGTGTGTGTGTGTGTGGAGGGTTTGTACACCTGAGTGCCGATGTCCGCAGAGACCAGAAGGCTTGCATCCCCTGAAGCTGGAATTATAGGAGGCTGTGAACTGCCTAACATGAGTGCTGGGAACCAGACCTGTACAGGCAGTGTGTGTTCTTGATCACAGTGCCATCTCTCCAGCCCCAATATGCTTGCAGTCTCGGTATGGAAAGGCGGTTCTCCACTTTGTCATAACTGAAGATCGCTCTGGCTCTGCCTGTAGGACGGGCAATCAATCTCCCCCAGACTTTCCTATGCACGCTGCATTTGAAACCATTTGGATGTAACCAAGGTCAATAATACATCCTTCCTTTAAACTCCCGGCGTTTCCCTGTTGAGGAGGCCTTGTGAATCCACAGTCGCTTTTATTTACAGGTGGAGTTTGAAGGGCTGGAGAGATGGCTGTGTGGTTAAGGGCACGCACGTATTGCTGTCCCAACATGAGTTGGGTTCTCGGCACCGAAGTCCTGTGGTTCACAACTCCCTGTAACTCCGGTTACAGAAAGGAGGCCTGCCATCTGTGGCCTCCCAGGGCACCTGCCCTCACATGCATATAGACGTAATTTGCGATAATAAAGTCAGTCTTTAAGAACAGACTTTGATAAGGAAAGAGGCAAACTGTAGGTCAAAAGCAAATATGAGGCCCAGTATCTACCGAGAAAGAGGGAGGCTTTTCTAGGCTGGAGGGGAACAGCCTAGAAAAGCCTCTAGGGTGGCTGGGGTTGTTTGCTCTAGGGAGCCTCTGGAAGGCTCCGGGAGCCACGCCCCTTCTTCATCGGTGAGTTTTGTTGTTTTGCTTCCTCAAAGCCAAGTGTGAGAATGAATGCCTGTCTGAGAATAAGAACTCTTTGTTCTTCCACAGACTCTCCCTGAGAAACCCGAAAGCAGATGCAATACCTGGACTTGGACATTCAACCCAAGTAACACATCTCCCCCGATTCCTTGCTCTTGGGACCTGCTGAGTGCAGCCAACTTGCTGTGACCAACGTTGGTGATCAAGGCGGTGACCACAGCTACCAAGATTTCCAAGCTGGAAAGAGTGTGGTAACCTCCGGCACAGTGCACAAGAGCTCCCCACTGGCAGAAGCAATCCTCAGGTCAGGCCTAGGTCAGACCTCAGAAACTATGTACCTTCATCTGTGGGGGTGTGTGAGTCAGAAGAAGACAATGAAAATGACCAGACAGATATCTTAGGCTGTCTCCACAAGTTTGCTGTGACCCTCCCAGATTCCATGAGCAAAACTGACCTGGAAGAATCCTGTTGCTCAAAGCGAGTAGAAACAGCACGTTCGGTAAGAATAACTGGGGTTGGTCCGCGGTCAAGAAGACCTGTCCAAGGCCCGGCTGACCTTAAGAAGACAGATCACCTGTCTTGCATCCGTGCTGTGTGGCCCGTTCATTATGCATCACAGCTACTTCAGAGAGGTTCTGCTACACCATCATGCTTTTCAATCTCCTGCCGTGCCTGGCACTTAAGAGCTAGCCAAATATTAAGGATGTAAGAGACAGGAGTGAGCTGTTTGGTATATGCTCTTCCCATTCTCTCTCTCTCTCTCTCTCTCTCTCTCTCTCTCTCTCTCTCTCTCTCTCTCTCTGTACCCCAAAGAATGGGGACTTCCTCTGGAATTCTGGGTGGAGGAGCTTGTCCGACCGCCTTATAGAAGGAGTCTGAAGCCCAGACAATGGTGTGGTGAGAAGTACCATAGCTTGGTCAGGGCCACTTAGATGTGAGCACGCTTAGCCATCTAGTTTAATCTCACTTCCGGACCTAGAAGATGGACGTCGGGTGTTCACCGCATCTCTGTGTCCCACTTCTCAATGTAGCCATACTGAGTAAATCTCCCTTTCCTGCTTTCCACTTTTAATTTGACTCTTAATGGATTTGTGGAGCCAAGACCTTGACAGAGATTCACACACAGGAAAGTTGTGAACTAATAGTTTGACCTTTGGCAATGGTTTGGTCTGGGATCATAGCTGGCACCCGATTGGGCTGGACATGGAAAATAGACTGGAGAATCCTCTCCCCACCTCATGGCCAGGAAGCCAGAGACAGAAAGAAGAGAAAGCCAGGTTTCGCTACCCATTTTGCATGCCCCCTCTGACCTAAGGTGTTCTCATAAGACTCCTAAACATTCTCCCACATCTTCCAATAACACCATCCTGGCAACCAAGAATTCCATGCCTAGATCTCTGGGGAATACCAGCATCCAACATCCAAGCCACAGAAGCGGCAGAATTCATTTCAGAAATCTCCATGGGCTGACCCAGTGAGCTAACTCTCACAAGATGAAAGTCATCAGGAGGGTCAGTTCTGTGAGGCTGAGCAGGTACAATGAAATCATCACAGTGACAGGAGGTGATCTGGAGATGTGGCTTTGACGACAGCACCTGGGGAGAGAAAGACCTGCATCCCGGTCAACATGTTCTGCGGGGATGAAAACTGGGATGTAAATACTGGTCAGTATAATAAGGGCACAGAAGCAAGCCACCAGAGAGAAGGAGATAACTGCCCACTCATGCCCACACCTGCACCCCACATCAGGTCTGCTGCTATATTTGATGAGCAAAATGAGCTGACCGGAGCATGTTCAGTAGGGAAAATTGCAAACCTTTTCACATGAAGAGAGTTTGGTAAACCAAGAGAAGACACGGCCTACTAAGATGATTTGGGCCACAGCAGCTACTTCAAATGACACGAGGAGGAATCAAACCAGTTCTGTGTGGCATAGCCACTCCGATAGACAAAGACAGAAGCTCCAGGGCATAGATCTTAATGTGATATGAAACTTTTCAATAGTCGCATATGAACTAGCACTTCCTGTCATTCTCACAGTCGTGGCCTGGCAGGCCCGTCAACCACCCACTTCAGAAAATTTGAAATCTAGCAAATCACGTGCATTAGGCTGACACTCTGACAGAAGTCATAATGCAAAACCGAATGCATGGGACGGGCTGTTTAAAAGCCATACGGGGCTGCAGAGCCGCACCACGGCAAGCGCAACAGAAGGCCTGGGAGACGCCGCCCTGCGTAAAGTCCTTGCTGCCCAAGCATGAGGGCAGCCAGTTTGATCCTCAGAACACACATTTAAAAAAAAGCCAGGAACAGTGTCACATGCTTGTCATCCCCACTCCGTAGCAGTAAATAAGGCAGGTCCCCAGGCCAGCCAGTCTATCCTAATCAACAGCTCCAGGCCAAGGAAAAGTATAAAAACCAAGACAGATGGCACCCAAGATTTCCTCTGCCCCCCGCAACAGAGGCAAACCCCATTCCCATACACACACATGCAAAAACAGCAACAGAAAACCTCAAACAAAGAGTGAAAATGCCAGAGGCGCCTGTAGTCAAGAGCGGTGCTGGCAGTGGACGCCAATGGAAGAATTAGGAAATAACACATTGTACTCATTTTAATAGCATCTTCTAAAAAGTAGAAATACGGCTGACAGTAAAAACATTCCTAGGCCATTTGGAAACTTAATTTACTTAGTTTATTTTTGTTTTCTGCCCTTAAGTCTCCCACCAGGCCCATGGCAGGATGTTCATGGGCAGAAGCCATCTGCATCTGCCCGACTGTGGCCAGTGTGTTCCCACCTGAAGAACTAGACTTATAGGATCTTTGAGGGCAGCATTTCTTTCCAGAGAGCTAGTGGGCTCAGCAGCAGGTCCCTGGAGCCTAGCAGCGAGCTGTTAATTCCGACCATTTTCATCGGCATGGTATCTCTGGTCTCAAAAAACAAACACACAAACAAAAAACAGGTACAAAAATATCCCTAGTCCCTCTTTCAAATCTAACTCTTAAACGTGAGCTTCTTTTAGGACAATGCTATCCATGTATTTATGAACACAGGAGAGGGAGAGACGAATTAAAGCCATGGATGAACTGAAAATAATAGAGTGTCCTCTCAATAGCTTCAGTAATAGCCGGATGTCATCAAAAGGTCACCATGGCACTAGAGATTGGCTCGACAGGAGAATGTGTACTTAGCACACACAGAGCCCTGCTTTTGATCCACAGAACTAACTATGCAGAGAGAGTATAAGTATTCTATTCTTTTCACAGCTCAAAAGCAAATACAAATGATAAACAAGCACACAGAGGTCACTGTTGCTTTCACAGCTAAAGGAAACAGGAAGAATATGGCTCTAAGAACTCCTGTCACACCAGATTTCAGCATGCTTTTGCGAGTTGGGACATCAGCTGAGTGCCTGTGGAATTTAGCCCCAAGAGTGTAGGGAGCTCAACTAAACAGATTGCCTGAGCTGTGGTTCATTTTGCAGCCAAACACCGAGCAAGTCTCCCTGGACTGGTCCTTAGGATGGCCTATCTAGCAGGGTTTACATGGGATTATGTGTGGCACACCAGTCAGATTAGAACAGACACATGAGGACTCTGCAAAGCCAGAAGCAGTCCATGAGGCCCCAAGACGCTGCGAGCTTTGAAAACATCCCTTTAGGATTAGCTCTCAAGATTATGATAAAACACACCGTCCTTGCTAAATGGCCATGGAGGACCCTAGTTGTTCCCCCACTGTTAGCATTCAGGCATTTCCCTGGCCTGCCCGCAGGGTCCTCAGCTGCAGCCACTAAGAACACTTCCTGTGCTTGCTGGTACTCAGCCATCTATGGTGGCCTGCTCAGGATTCTGACAATATGTCATCAATGACAGCCCCTACATAGTACCTGTGCCAATGTGCTACACCCCACTTTAAAAGCAAACTCTGCCCGGTTCCCCTCCCCTTCTCTCCTCCGCATCTCCCAGAAGCAGGCCTCTGTGTCCCCTCCCCTCCCCTCCCCTCCCCTCCCCTCCCCTCCAGTAAACCTCCCATGTGAGTTTGGTTGTATGGCATTCCTTCCTGCCATTGCTAAACTACAGCACCCACTCTCAACTTGTGGGAGGGCCAGGGTCTAGGCAGGACACTATGAGAGCTGGACCCACCTCCAAACAAGTAGGACACATGCAGGCCAGGGAGTAAACGGGAGCCTCTCCCCAGACACAGCTCACGCTAGGACCCATTGGCCATTTCCCTCGTCTACCAATTGTTATGAAAACGGACATACACATTCAGAAATGTGTTCACTTGCGTGTGAGCAAGAATAGGTAGAGGAGGCTACCTCTCAGGCAATAAAGATGAGTCACGGGAAACGACAAAATTGAACCTCATTCTCAAGCAATTAAAAGACGCGGAACCTCCTTGCAGATCCCTATTAAATTCGCCTGTTTTAGAAAAGCCTGTTCTGTACTGGAGGGCAGCTACAGACCTTTGCAGAATCAACTGAATTTTAACTCTAACCGCAGCAGCTGTGTGAGTGAGATATATATGGCGATGTTGTCCTGAGTCATTTGATGGCTTCTAGCTTTGAGTGTCCCCAAAGAGAAGAAAGTATCCTACAGCAGATCCAGGCCGTGGTTCAGGCCATACAACATCTGTGGAGAGGAAGAATGTCATGTGGAATTTACAGCAAATCCTGATGGCAGAGTCTCCCTGTCAATGCCCAAGATTGTGGAGCTGTCTAGAGGCATGATGCACCCGCTGAAACCCAAATCTTGACTTAGTCTTGGAACCCAATTTGGACTACCTGGCATGTGCCACCAGGTAGCCGTTTAACCAGACATAAACGTTGTGAGCTGGATTCTGTCTGACCCACCAAGTTGGGAAGTCCGAAGGGTTCAGAAACAATCGATTATATGGAAGAATTAAAACAGAGTATAGCCACAGGCATAGGACCAAGAGTTCCCTTTTTAGAGCACAGCGGAAGGATCTGAGCTCAGCCCCAAAGTGGCAGGGACGACTTCCTCTGCTGCTTGCCAGAGCCAAATCGCTCTTTCATGACTTTGCTTGGCTCCCGTTACTTTACAATCCGTCTTGGAGCTGTTTCTCTGTGATTTGTTTTGTTTTCCGGGGCTGCCTAGCACCTGCCATTGTATTTTTAAAACCACAGACTTTCTGTTTGAAAAATGGAGTATGCATGTAGGGTTGTGCCGTGCCGTGACTTTCAACATGATTTGGTGCCCAAGAGAAAGAGACACTCTCCTGAAAGTTTTAGTACTTCAAGATTTAGAAAGTCCATGTTTGTTTGTTGGGCAGAATTGTCCCTGTGTAAGGGACAGAAACTCAGTCCGAAATAGCACCCCACTTGCTGTCATAGTAGTGTTTCCTTTCTCTGAGGCCATCTCCCCTCTGCCATTGTGTCCCAGTTCTCAAAACTGGCTCAGGTCTGGAAAACAGGACAAAGGAAGACTTTCTGTTGGGGGAGAGTCACGCTTAGATCCTGGTTGTCCATGCTTGGTTGCACTGTGGTTCAGGTGGATCAGGAAGCTGTGGGCCACCCGTCCTCCTCTCCCCTTGAGATCTCAGGTTATAGTAACTCGAACACTCTGTGGGTCTAGCTCTCTTGGGCCCCTTGACCTTGCTGCCCACCATTGTCCTTACCTGTTTCTAATGACAAAGCATCCCGCTCTTCTGTTGTCATGGGATCCTCTATGGACCAGGCATCACCTGGAATCCTAGTAAAACACAGAAGTACAACAGTCCTCCTGAACCCCAAAGTACAACAGTCCTCCTGAACCCCACTCTGCATTTTAAATGACCCCCAGCCATTTGTATGTACCCTAAGTCCGAGAAGCCTGCTATGCCTCAAGCCACGACTCACTTTTTAGATTCCGCCTGATAGAACAAAACAAGATGGCTTCTCTGCCCAAGCTATGGCTTTAAAATAAGACTATCCTGGTGTTATGAGTCCCACCATTAACATTCAGTGGGGTGAACCAAAACCCCTTACCCTGAGATGGCTGCTAGAACTGGGAAAAATCCAATAGCAACATCAAGAAGTTGTCTAACCCAATCATACAAATGGATGCGGCGTGATTCCAAGTGAGAACAAGTATGGAGGGGAAGAAAATTAGATACAGCTTACTGTAGGTAGACAGATTTTAAACTTCAGGAATAATACACAATAGCTTGTAACTGGAATGTGACTCTGGGTTGTGCAGATGGGAAGCAGGGAAGGATGAAAAAATTGACATGTTTTGGTATCAAATGACATTTTTATCCAGAGTCTTAGTTACTTTGAGATAAGCTGATGTGGCATTACTATCAGGCACAAGAAGAAACAGACAGAAATAATTCGAAGTGTTTAATCAGCACCTGCACCTGTCAGTCATACAGCTGGAGCCCGGCTTGCGCCCCCTGCTGTTCTATGCTGTCATTGCATCTTACGTTGTTCTCACTCTCCAGTGACAGAACAGTGCCACAGCTCTGAGATTTATACCATTGTGACACTGTCTAGAAAGGAAGCATGGAGTCATTTGGTCAGGACATCATTCTCTTGAGTTTGTTTTTTACTCTTTTGGGGGAGCTCACAACCCAGCTCCCACATAAATCACACATAGAAGCTTATTCTTAATTATAAATGTCCAGCCGTAGCTTGGCTTGTTTCTTGCCAGCTTTCCTTAGCTTTAAGTTATCCTGTCTATGTTTTGCCTCCAGGCTTTTCCTTTTCTATTCCTGCATACCTTTCTTTGTTACTCCATTGCTGGTTGTGTAGCTGGATGGCTGGCCCCTGGTGTTCTCTTCTTTCTCTGGCTATCTACTCCTATCTATTCTCTCTGCCTGCCAGCCCCGACTATTCTTTCTCCTGCCTTGCTATTGGCCATTCAGCTCTTTATGAGGCCATCAGGTGTTTCAGACAGGCACAGTAACACAGCTTCACAGAGTTAAACAAATGCAACACAAACAAAAGCAACACACCTTAAAACAATATTCTCCAACACCAGCCCTCCTCCTCACCTTTCTTTCCTTCTTACATGCTTATGATTCCTCTTTTTAGATTTAATTATTTTTATGTGCATGCAAGTTTTGCCTGCATGTATGTACGAGCACCATGTGTATGCAGTACCTGCAGAAGCTGGAAGAGGGTACTAGATCTCCTGGAACTGGAGTTACAGACAGTTGTGTGCCTTCATGTGGATGCTGGAAACTGAATCCAGGTCTTCTTCAAGAGCAGCCAGTGCTCTAACCACTGAGCCATCTCTAGCCCTCCATCTTCTTTTTTAAAAAATAAAGATGAACCCCTTCATTTTTTTATTTAAAAGTTTTTTTTTTCATTTTACATACCAACCGCAATTTTCCCTCCCTCCCCTCCTCCCGCTCGCTCCCTCCCCTCCTCCCGCTCGCTCCCACCTTCCTCCCACTCCACCCCACCCACTCCTTAGAGAGGGTAAGGCCTCCCATTGGGAGTTAACAAAGTCTGGCATATCAAGTTGAGGCAGGCCCAAGCCCCTCCCCCTGTATGGAGGCTGAACAAGGTACCCCTCCATAGGGAATGGACTCCAAAAAGCCAGTTCATGCACTAGGGATAAATCCTGGTCTCACCGCCAGTGTCCCCACATACTGCCCAAGCCACACAACTGTCACCCATATTCAGAGGGCCTAGTTCAATCCCATGAGGGTTCCCCAGCTGTCAGTGCAGAGTCAGTGAGCTCTAACTAGCTCTGGTCAGCTGTCTCTGTGGATTTCCCCATCATGATCTTGACCCCTTTGCTCCTAGAATCCCTCCTCCGTCTTATTGACTGGACTCCAGGAGCTCCGTCCAGTGCCTAGCTGGGATCTTTGCATCTGCTTCCATCAGTTACTGGATGAAGGTTCTATGATGACAATTAGGGTCATTATCAATCTGATTATAGGGGAAGGCCAGTTCAGGCACCCTCTCCACTATTGCTAGGAGTTTTAGCTGGGATCATCCTTGTGGGTAAGAGGGATGGGGTATCTCAATCCTCCAATGCCCAGACAGAACAAAAAGATGGAGAGACCACGTGTTGTCTTTCTAAGAACTGGGAATTTTTCCCATTCTGGGCTGTCAGAGCTCCAGTCTCTACGTCATTGGTCTCTGGGATTCACTCCACTGGCCCCTAGAGTCTCAGACTCAGACTCCATTGAATTTTACCTTGACTTTCCTGGGTCTCCAGCTTGGAGACAGCAGACATGAGACTTCTTAGCCCTTATGACCATGTGACTTATAAAGCACAACAAATGCCTTCCTAGTGCTGTTTTTTTTTTCAATTCTGATTTTTTTCTTTCTGTCGTCTCACCCTGCTCTGAAGCCTATCTGACTTCAGTTATTGTAAACTCCCAAATGTCTCTGGGTTTCCTTTCGCAAGTCCTTATTTCTCTACAGATGTTTACTGTTTGGTAGATGTTGCTCTGGTACTTGTCTTTAACTGCTGACAACGGTTTGTTTGTTTGTTTGTTTTTGTTTTTTTTCTTTAGTTCTTTGAATACATTTGTAGTCCTTTATTTGAAGTCTGTTTCTAGTGAGTCTAGGCTTTTCTGGGAATGGCTTCTAGCAATACCAGTTCCCCCCCATGTACATGCCCTGTCATCCTCAATTTCTTTGCATGTTTCATGTTTGTGTGTGTGTGTGTGTGTGTGTGTGTGTGTGTGTGTGTGTGTAAAAACAAACATTCGATACACTTGGGATGTGAGATCTCCCCCATCCTGGGGTTTCATGTTGCATGCAGCTGGTTGTTGGTGTGGGGAGGTCGTTCTTCACAATTTCTGCTCTCTCAGGTGGCCGCTGACATCTCTGTCCCGTTAGCTTGATGGTCAGCTAATAATTCAAAGGACAGCTCCTTACACACACTGACCTCACATCGAGGAATGTCCGCATTCCAGCAGGCATTTCAGAGCTCTATCCGGCCCTCACTTACTGCCTGCCCAAAGACGCAAAGCCATCCAGAGGTGAGCTATTGGGGGGTCTCCTGAGGTTATCCCTAGGGACGTTTACAGCCCTGCCCTTGACCATGGTTTTCTGAATCCTCAAGAATGTGTCAGAGTTTTTCAAACCTCACAGTGAGTACATCACTCAACATTGTCCTTTGAAGATTCCGACCCAGGGGCTGGAGAGATGGGTCAGTGACTAAGAGTGCTTCTGCTCTTCCAGAGAAGTTGATTTAGTTCCCAGCACCCATGTCGGGGCTCACAGATGCCTGTGTCTAGGCTCCATGGGATCTGATGCTTTCTTTTGGCCCCTACAGGCACCTGCACTCATGTGCACATTGCCACACAAAGACAAACACCCGAACACATCACTGAAAATAAAATAAATCTCTTTTAAAAAGAGAGAGACTGCCAGTCCTTTCTTCTTTCCAAATGCTTTTCCCCTCAGGCAGCTGCGGTTGTTTTTGAAAAAAATGCCTCAGGTATGAAACTGTTTCACAGAACCAATTCTGAGAGAAATCAAATAAAGACAGCTGAGAAAAGAACTTTGAAGGGAGCTGCCATTCAGGTCAAGTAGACACAGTCCTCTGGGATAGGGCTCTCAGGGAGCTCAGATGCATTCTGTGCCTTCCAGTGTCTGCGAGGCAAACGTTTTCCAGCTTTCAGTTTGGCTTTCAAGGCCACAGGGAAGCAGGGAAAAGGCTGCTGGGAATAAGGAAGTGAAAACCACTAGGCAACAGGATCACCCACACTCTGACGCTTGATTCCACTGGAAGCCCTTGATAACGTTTGCGGTGCGTTGGTTAATTTCAGGCTCCAGAAAAAAATAGATTTTGCTGATTTTGTGAGCGTTCTGGCTGCTTTTCTAGAGGATCAACTTTTCCTAAGTCCTCAGTCTACCATTCTAGAGGCTGCATCCGTTAACCTTGTACTGAAGAACTGAACCGGAAAGCCACCCTCCTTGGTTTACACTTCAAGGACTCTGGTTGTTTTTTCAATTATTTCTATAATTTGTTAATTGGCTTTCGAAAATGGAGGTCATCTCCATTCTTGATTGCACATCAAAGGAAGAGCTTTCCTTCAAGGCTAGGTCAGAAGGAATGGAGAGATAGAGGAAGACACGTCAAACTCAAAGGTCCCAGAGACATCCAAGAGCTGGGAACAGACTGCGCACGCGCCACGGGGAGTGGCACCTTGGTTTGTACCGCACTGTTGTGTCGTGGAGAAAAGGAGGGGGGGAGGGCTGCGTTTAGGAAACACTATGACAACTAATATAAATAATTCAAGCTGAACTTCTTCAGTTTACGCGGCTGGAGAGATGGCTCAGCAGTTAGGAGCACGGCTGCTCCTGCAGAGCCCAGCACCCACGTGGCCGCTCCCAACTGGAACAACTCCAGTTCCCGAGGTCGGACGCCCTCTGCTGTCCTCCACAGGTTCATGCACACTGGTGATGCAGAGACACACACTTGCACATAAAATAAAATTATAAAAACTTCCTCCAGCTTCCACCCTGAGTCTGTCCTTCCTTGCTTCTTTCCAATCATTCCTTCTTTTCCCACTCCCTTCATCCAGGGGCGACCTAGACATCACTAGCTCCATTGAAACTTTGTACAACTTTATTTTCGTTTCTCGGTGCTTGAACTCAGACACAGGCATTACGTATGTTAGACTCATCTCTACCTCTGAACAGCATCCCAGTCTCTTGCTATAAATGATTTAGATCCATTATCCTATGACTAAAGCTTCAATTTACACATCAACTCCATCATGCAAATTGATCTGGACTTTC